CCCCATCGGTCTGTTTAGCCCAGAAATGAGTTCTGCACCTTTCAGGCCGGTTCTGAGAGCGAAGGGGAGGAGGAAGAGCAGCAGTTCGTTTTCAGATACTGCGCTCACTCCTCCCCATTCCGGCTCCTGGACTGTTGTGATGCCTTAAGGAGCTGGAACACAGCCCAGACAGAATTAAAAGGAATAAATTTGATTTTTATTGAAGTGCTTTCAAATGCCACACCCTGGCAGTACCGGAGCCACAGCTGTGGCTCTGCCTAGATGGCCCCAAGATAGGAGCAAAAGAGAGTCACGAGATCTCACATTTTTATAAGTTTTAGTCCATTTGCATATAGGAGTTAACAGCCCAATTAATAACTTCAAATTATGAAGTTTCATCCTCCTTGCTTGCTTGCCTGCTCTCCTCTTTTCACATTGTTTATGCTTTGGGGCTGAAGTTTGAAGAGATTATCCTTGAGTCTCCAGGTAGAACAGGATTGTTTTGTCTTCACCACCCTGAGAAAAGATCCCAGTAACACTTAATATAAAGCTAAGAGCTGCACACCAAAACACAACAAAAAATCTTAAAACCTAAGGTATCAGAATTTTAGCAATGTTTCCTTCATAATTGTGGCCATTATTAGAATTTACTTCAAAGAAGTCTGACATACTATGTCCTATTGCTTTAATATAAGCTCTGTATTAGAAAATATGTTTTTCTCTGTGTTACATGGCATTTGCAGCAGCAAAAGCAGTTGCATAACATTGTAAAAGCACAAAGAGGTACAGCACGTATGCCACTGTGGGCAAAGTGAAAGGATTTTTGACCTACACTCGGACAATCTAAAGAAAAATTACTATGATAAAAGACCTTGGGAAATCTGAACCAGCAATGAACAATGAGTAGAGAACAAAATGCCTGCACAACAGTCTAATGGGGAAACCTCTCAAACTTTCTCTGGGGAATTGGAACCCTTGGGTGTGGGTAATGTTTCTCTGCAATGCTTGTACACTGATGTGTGCAGCATGGGGAACAAACCAGAATCAGAAGTCAGTGTGCAGCTGCAGGGCTGTGACCTTGCTGGGATTGAGAGGATATGGTGGCAGGGCTGACAGGACTGGAGTGCTGCAGCTCTGTAGGAAGGGTGGTACAGGAAGGCAACGAGGCAGGGCTGCCCTCCTTGTGATGGGGAGCAGCAGGAATGCACGGAGTTCTGCTTTGGGATGGCTCAGGAGTCACAAGAGACATGAAGGGGGAAGATTAGTGGGCAGACCAATACAGTCTGCTCTTTTAGTTGGTATCTGCTACAGACCCACGATCAGAAAACAAAAGTAGATGGGGTCTTCCTCTAACAACTGGAAGAAGCCTCACATTCACAGACACTGGGGAAAGTCTCACAGGGGGCGCTTAAACCACATGATGCCTGCAGCTGGTAGAAGTAGAGAGGGATTTTTAGAAAAATGCAGAAAAACGTTTTCATATTTGATGCATATTTAGAAAAATTCCTTACCTTTTGTATTGTTAATCTGTTTCCACTTGGCTGAGTTACTAGAGTTTTATAAATATCATTTTTTCAAGCAAGTATTTTTTTTATAGAAAGTGCTTTTTACAAATTATCACTTGAAGTTTTATCGGTACTGTACGCACGCAATTAGCTGAAACTGAATAGAACCTTCGATGATCTGATTCAAAGAATGAAAAGTAGGGAGTGTCCCTAGATTTTCAAATAAATCTATTAATTTTGCTTTTATCTGGAATTATTTCAGCTAGATTTATGATTCCACTTGCAGATATAACGACCTGAAATTACTAGTAAAGAAGATTTCCCTGTAATCTTAAGAGTCAGCTGCAATTTCATTTCTTTTTTTTTTTTCTGCTGCCTAAACAGAATAAACAAAAGCCTGTCTTTGGTCCTCCCTCCTCAGAAGGTAACGTAATTTGCCATCTCTGGAAAAGGAAAAAGTGTCACTGAAAGCATCTGCCAGAGCTGCCCAGGGCCTCTTGCAAAGCCTGGAAGCTCTTTGCTCTCCCTATGGCAGGCATCTGTCTCCAGTTCAAGGCAACATTCTGCCCCTCCACTGCAGTCTAGGTGCCTGCAGAGAGCAGGGGAGGGACGCGGCAGGGACTCCTTCCCAACTCAGAGCAGAGTCACAGGGCAGAAAGAGCTGAGGATGTGGAAGTAAATGAACATTTAGTATGTGCTTAATTGCACAGTTCTCACAAAATCTCCGAAAAAGATCCTTTGAGAGCCTTGTTGTCTTTTTCCTTGCACATGTATTCCTGCACCCCAATTGCTAGCAACTCATGTCCTGGGAAAGAATACTATTTTGCAAGTGACTTCTTAGCTGTTAAAAGAAAATAGTAGAACAGATGATGCTGTTTCACCCCAGCAGTGAACAAACTGGTAACACAGGTCAATTTAATTTCACTGCAAGTAATAGTATGATTTAGCCATTTTTTTTTGTTATGAAACCCTGTATGTCAGCTTGAACTTAATTTTCATGATTGAAGTGTAGTTTTTGAAATGCTTTTGTAAAAGTGTTCTGTTCTTCACTGAGATGCTCAAGTCTACCAATCAGTGAAATTTGAAGCACTTGATAAAATTGCAAAGCTCCTGTTAGTCTAGTATAGGCTGTTAGTAGTATAGGCTCCTTTTTGATGGCCAACTTGATCTTCCAATCACTTCAGAGTATGAAGTCCTCAGTGAAGAACTGAGCTTGAACATTCTACATTAGAAGTAGTTGTACTTTTTGGCCAACATACTCTTAGGGTTAGATTAAAATTTAGTGTTAAACTATGATTTTAAGAAGCTTATCACTAATGAAAGCCAGCTAAGACTTGGACACATAAAAGGCTTTATAAAGGAGATTTGTAATTCCCAAATTCACATGAAAAATAATCACGTTAGTTTAAAAAGTTATGCTATTGCATTCATTAATAATTCATTTATTGTTAAAAGTTAAACTTTACACACAATGGCTAGTGAAAATTCACTGTCAGTACTTTAGCTAAGAGTGCCTTTAAAAGAAAAGTCCTGGGATAAGGTTACTTAGGTGGTAGAACCCAAGTAACCTAATCTGTCAGTCTCAGAAGAGGAAGTTTTGGATGAATGGATCAAGCACAGGACAGTTTTGAGACACCATTGGTTCAATTTTGGCTGAAACTTAGAAGAAGGTTCTGACTATCAGCACAATCAGGCTTTGAAACAATTTTCAACAAGAAGAATGGGAACAAGCAATCTAATGACATTCAGATACTACTGGGATGGCTACACAAAACAACTGTAAGATACCACTGCCTGCGGTGGCCTGGAACAGATGTCTTCCTGTTCTCTGTTTTCTGTATAGTTTTACTGCCCCTCCTTAGAGGGCAGTAAAATTCTTTTACTAGGAATTTACATTGATGTAAAGCAAATCCAAGCAAAATTTTCATTTGCTGCTCAGCAAAGAGCTGAATGAAATATCACAATCTATATATTTGTGATATAGTGAAAACAATTTAATACCTCTTTTGCATTAGCCTCCATGAAAAGATCAACTGCAAGCAGACACAATTAACACCAGCAAAAAGGGATAAGGTCTCGCTATGTAAAAAGAATAGCAAAGGTTACATAGTGCTGAAATAACATAGATGTTCTCAGATCATCCATGCTAATAAACTTAATTCATCTTAGGGGACTTAACTGATTAAAATAGACTCAGAGGGCTTAGTGGTCTTTGAAAAATTATGGAGGATAGATGAAATGCTGGAGGACTGAAAAAGAGCAAATGGATTGCTGTTTTTAAAAAAGGGAAAACTTACAGTTTGGTCTGCTTTATTTCACTCTCTCTCTGATAAATCCAACACTGTTCAAAAATAAAATGGAGGTGTATTATCACATTGGCAGATGTCACACACTTGGTGAGACTGTAAATATCTTGAGGAGTGGGATTAAAATTCAGTTAGGTCTCACATAGATTGAATGGTGGTCTGGGGAAGAAAAATGACTTTGCAGTAGGGACAGGGGAAAGTGTTACACACAGGCAGATATACCCAACTGCACAAGTATGGAAGGGGATCAATTAATTACACAGTAATTATTCAGAGAAAGATCTCAGGGCTAAAGTGGAAAGTGATGAGTCAGGAGTGAATATGACAACAACCTTACACTGTGAAAAAGGCAAGTGAGAGAACTGGCATATATGAACAACAGTACAAGTGACAAGACAGCAAGCACATAAATAAAAGAGGATAAATAAATATATTTATATAAATAAAACTTGTACTGTTTTGTAGTCTAGAAGACAGTAAAATTTGGGGTATTTAGTGTGTCATGAGAATAAAAGGGAGTAAAAGAGGAGAAAGTAAATAACAGTATTCCTGAATTAAGAGCTGTAAATTCTCCTGATGTTTGGAAAAGCAACATTCAGGTGGCTGTAGCTTTTTTCCTTTAAGTTTTTGCCTTGAGTTAGTCACAGAGAGGAAGGTTTGGACAGACAAGCGTCAGTGATGGAGTTAATCCGATGTATTGAACTGTCAGCCATTAGGTGAGCTAACAATCACTGGGCAATTGTGAGGTAAATTAGCTAGATCAAGAGGGCACTTGTAAAATTTATTCATTTTATTTCCCATTTGTGAAAGCTAATGCAGTTCACACAGGGAATCGTAACTCCTTCACCTGTAGTAAGGGAGCAGTTCCATCTTCAGAGCGAGGGAAGCAGGGTGTCAGTGGGACTAACTGTGTTTAACATAGGGTTAGAAAATTCAATAAAGAAAAGCAGCGAGGCTGCAAACACATTAACTGGCATTCTCTCAAGATTTTAACCCTACATTGTCTTGACAAAATGTAATTGACCTCACGGAATTTCCACCCCTGTGTGCTACCTTTAGAGCGGCTCAGAAATCGGCCATACCTGAAGCTGCACCGACAGCGAGAGATTTGGCGGGAGGGTGTAAGTTAAACTTCGCCTCAGCGCGACTGCAGGAGGGGCTTCCTAAATTGGTTTTGGAGGAGAAAAAAGAATTTTTTTTTTTTTTTTACTCATACTTTATTTAAGACAGGGACTAAGAATCCCACAAGTGAGGCGGCGGCGGCCCCCGTGTGGGAGGGGGGCGCCGCAGGTGCCGTGAGGGGCGGGCGCCTTGGGCCGCTGCGTGCGGGCGCAGCCTGAGGGCGCGGGGCCGCAGCCGCCCCCGGCCCGGCCGAGCCCCGGAGGAGGGCGGGCGATGTGGGAGGCGGCGCGGCGGCGAAGCCGCTCAGCTCCGCGCCCGCCGGCTCCGTGGCCCCGGCAAAGTTGTGCCCGAGCCGCCCGCAGGCTCCCGCTCCAATGCAGGCACCGCCCGGGCCGGGAGCGCGGCGGGACGGGGCGGCTGCCGCCACAGCCTCCCGCTGCCGAGGCGGCGTTTGCGGGGTTGTTCTGTGGGCTTTCTTGGGGTTTGGGTTTGTTTTTCTTGTTTCCCGGCGCACTGAGCATCTGCCTGGCGCGGTCCCCGCAGCAGCCCTTCAGGGACTGGGCTTTTCCCGTTCGCTCTCCTCGCGGAGCTGTTCAGCGGGATGCTGTTGCCCTCTAGTGTCTGCGGGAATTGGTTATGGCTCTGTTGGGGCACAAAATTAGTCAGCCTAGTGCAGTAATTATTCATAACTTAGGGTGGTTGTAGCTGCTTGGATTCCCCAAATCCTGTCAGAAATTCATGTGTGCTGCTGCTCGGTTCAGCTGTCATGTGCAGCCCTCGGGAAATGGCAGAAAACTTGTATATTACTCATTTCGATGCCTGATACGCTGGATAATTGCTTCAGGTTTTGGTGTGGTGGGGTTTTCTCTTCCTAATGGAATGGTAAGTGAAAGAAAGAGGGTTTCTCTCACTGTCAGCATCCCCAGTCAGGTGTCATGGAAGAAATGGTTCTGAACTCTGCCTTATTATTAACTCTTTACACTTGGCAGTTGTGGGAGAAGGGAGAGGGGAAGTAATGGTATGGTCATGGACCAGACGGTGTGCTGGACATTTATCTCAGAGACCTTGAGCAAATCATTTACTCTTTAGATAGTGATGTTTTTGCAATTGCTGAAAAGTAACAGCGTTTATCTCAGAAAAATTGTGTGATGTCAAGAGCTTTAAGATATTTCTATACAAAGTGTTGTATGAAGGCAGAGTAATTTGAAGACTAAACTAAACTTTTGTGTTCTGTTGAAGTCTTTACAACCTTCTTTTAAACTATTTTAAACGTTGTATATTTAATATTTATAAATTTTTTTCCTTGACAAACTGTAATGCTTGAATCCCTATCCTGTAAGGGTCTCTAGTACTGCATTAAGCAATGCAGCATGGAGCTTAGGATACCACAGGTACAGTAGAAACTACAAACTGCTTACCTGAAGGACTTGAAAAAGAATTTCTATCCATCAGAATTGCTGTGCTGCCTGAACCGTTCCCTTTTTTTCTAACAGCTGTGAGGGAGTGTAAACCTTTCAATAATCACACATTCCAGGGTTTGTTATGTGATACTAAAGGGTTTCAAAGGCTTCCCTTGACAGCTCATGTCTCATATCACCTTTTTACGAGTTGAAAATCTTTTTGATATGCAGTTGTAAGGTCTCATTCTCAGCCTGGATTTACTCATTTGAGCTGTTAATGCTTGAATATTTTAGTCAGTGGAGTAATGTTGTAAGTAGGGGTACTCAGAGGTTATTTTGGTGTTTTCATAACTGATTTAAAAGTCTGAGCCTTGCTCTTTACCCCAGGTTTGGTTGTGTTCGGTTGTGCTTTGCTGCTTCCTACCATATCCTTTGTATATCCAAAGATTTCCGATTTAGTAACACTAAAATGATTTCAGAATATTTCCTGTGAAGTTGTATTTCATAGTGAGTGGCCAGAGCAGACCTTTATGTTTAGAGCAGTTACGCAGCATTCTAATCAGTAGAGATTTAAATGTCTGTAGTAATATGCTAAACAATATGCCTCCTTTTTTTCTGCTCTTTGTTTAAAGCATTTAAAACTCATTTTCCATGTAATGCATCCCCAGCATGTCACCAGCACTGTGGTAGTGTCCAGGCTGGTAAAGAACAGAATGGGAATATAGTGATGGGGATTATTAGAAGAAAGTTATTAAAAATATGTCTCTAGATAAATGTAGTATACCTCAATAATACTGATGACTACTCAGTCCAGAACTTTTTAGTAGTTCTTGATGAAAAGGGTTTTTGTTACCCTTTAAGAGTATGTTTTTTACCTTTAAGTATGACCCAACTTTATTGTTTCTAATCAAGGGTCGCAGTAAACAGTTGCCCTAGCACAGGCCTGAGGTAAGACTAAACCAGTGTTTTCTTACTGGGCTTTGATAAATTTGATCTGATAAATTGAGAACAATTTCTTGCTTATTTATGGGTATTTTAGTTGAGCCCATTGTTTTAATCTTGATATTAGGACAGCAGAAAAAAGTTGCTTGTCATTTTAAAAATTGTGTTGATACTCATGATTCAACTTTATCAGACATTTTTTAAGATTGTGTGCAGTTTTATGTGCCTGTGCAGTTTCTGGATTGAGAACCTCTGTGAAGAATTTAGTAGGCTGCATTTCCAACCTGCATTGTCTTGTGGAAGAGTTTCCATGAGGGTTATCAGGGGGAAATGATTTACAGAAGCCAAGAGTTTGGTCATTTATGCTTAGCAGTGAAACAACAAACTAAAGAAAGCTGCAAGTGGTAGGAACTCGCTTATGGTGTCCTTTGGGTCTTTGGGGTTCCTCACAGTATTTGTTCTATCATCAGTGCTACTTTGGTAGTGAATTTAAAAACCCTGAAACCGCAAACAGAACAAGTTATAAACCCCCCAAACCAATCCAAATTGAAGATCCCTATTCAAATGCATCTGTTTCATGCTGGCTGCCTGCAGATGCCTGTAATTGTGACTGCCCAGCAGTATGTTCGGAATGGTAAATCTGCTGCTTAACAAGGTGATATTTCTTTCCTGTACCAGCGAGATTTTCACATGAGCAGGTTCTGGGCTGCAGAAACCATTTCTGCAGCAGATGACAAGAGCATTGAGCCTTTCTGTCTGTGTTCATAACAAAATGCAAAACTTGCTTCCATGACTCAGCTTTCTCTCAGCAAGATCTTCTCCATAGAGAGTCTGTAAGTTAAAAACCAAATTCTGAATATTCAAAGATGCTAATTTTCACCTTAAGAGATCATTTTGATACCTCCTGCTTTGAGCAGTAGAGGTGAAAGGTCCTGGTATGAATTTTAACACAGTGGCATGAAAATGTAAAATAGGAGATGAAATGCAGGTTCTTCTAAAGAAATAAAGTTCTAGATAGAAAAACAAACAGGCAAATTTTATTGCTTCAAACCATGGCAAAATACCACACAAGTTATTTTATAGGTAAAATTTATTGCAACATCAGCATTACAGAACTTTGGATTTATTTAAATCTGATTCCTGTTTTCAGGTGATTTGAAGTGGTTTGGGGTACAGGTGGGACCATATTCCTCTGTCACTGAATTCCACATGACTGTAGAAATCAAAAAGAGCTGAGACTGCTGATGCAGGCAGCTCTATCTATGGTCAGCTCTATCTATGGGTGTTTTTCATTGAAACAATGCTAACAAGCTTGAACTCTTGTGAAGACTTTCTAGACTCTGTTTTTTTTTTTTTTAATTTAAGCCTTTTTCTTATACTTAGATATTTTTTATTGATGTTGATGTTATCACGACTTCTCCTTTCTTTGGTAAATATTGCATTCTTTGGTCATGAAAGGAAGACTCCTCAAGCACTCCTCTTCTGAAATGCTGCTTCTCACAGCTTACTCACTGTAGGTGCATTGAGAATTGCACTTTTTGTCTGGTTGTACTGTAGGAAATGAGAGCAAGCAGGGAGCATCTTCCCTGAAGCCACTTCTAGAGATGTGGTAAAGGTCACTGTCATGATCTCCATAGGTCCCCCAGTGTGTGGTGTGGTGAATCCCAAGGATGTCACTGTCAAGGGGGTGCGTTGTGAGTTGTTTTAGCATGCTGCTGTAATACAGCACTAGAGTATCCAGCAAGGATTATTGCTCAGGGGAAAATGCTGCTGTCCCTCGAGGAAAGCAACTGTACCTGGTCAAGACTTTGAGACTGTTGATATTGCAAAATGCATGTTCTCTTTGACATTTTTGTTTTCTTCTTTCTGTGTTCTTTGGAACTCCTGCCATGCAAACCAGTCCTTAAGCAAGTGAAAGTTACCTAAGCCTCAAGCTGATACTAGAGAGTGTGAGAGTGTGCATTTAAACCTCGTTCCTTGCTCTGTTGCATCCCAATTGCTGCCTGCCTTCAGCAGGGAGTGTGCCAAGTCTGGCTGTGTCCTGTGCCTCAGAGAATTCCTCACTCCTCACAGTCGAACCTCACATCTGTCTTGGCAGGTCCAGCCACTCCTCCTTACAGCTGCACTCTGTAGCCCCAGGGGGCACCTGCAATTAGGAGCCAGGATACAATGACAGGGCTTTTCTTGAAGAAAACACGGGTGTCTGGGCTGGCTCCAGATTTTCCTCTCTAAGGAATGGCATTAGGAACCGTGTCCTTGCTGCAAATGTTTCTTGGGTTGCAACCCTTGTGAAATATCCTGTTCAAACAGCTCTGTCTCATCAGCCCTTCCTTGCTATGAGCTTAGGTCAGTGTCAATTCTCATTTTTTCTGTACATAGACCAGCCAGATCTGTGGTTATCAAAGAGAAATAGGTGTGTGTACAGCTTTTCTACAGAATGCAGTCAGTGTTAAGTTTAGGCACTAAAATTATGTGTTTCTTGGCGTTCAGGCAGCTGAATTGGAAATGCGAAATGAAGAGAACCCTTCGTGTGTGTAATGAAAAATCATCTGTCTGGAAACCTCTCTCTGGTGTTAACTCATTCAGGATAAAGCTTCTCTTTGTCACCTGACTTGTTACCATGTTAAATAGCTCTGTTATGCCATCCAGACTGATATTCGTGAAGCTAGTGTGGCAAGGATTGGACGTTGCAGTTATTAAGAATGTTGAGTTCTTCTGAAGGTTCCTTCATATCGTTACTTGCTCTTTATACATAAGATAAAACCCAGGAAGTTGGAGTTATGTTATTTTGGTCTAACACTAATTAGTGAGCCTGGGTGAAAGGCAGGTCTCCTGCCCAAAAGCTTTGAGCAGGACTTTGTGCTGCTGCAGGGAAGGTTCAAGGCTGAATTTAAGGCTTCCCAGAAGAGGAGGGGTTGATAAACAGTTATCTGTGAGTAGAAGGTGAGGAGACTAAAATCCATCTAAAGCAGAATCTATCCAGACAGAAGGAATCTTGCTCTGAATCTTAACTATGAATGAGACAGCTCTCGGCACTTGCTGGTCATGCTGAATTTTGCAGTTTTGATGAATAGAATGACTTGGAGTTTTTCTC